GTCAGGCTGCAGAAGCCCAGAAACAACTGAGAAATGTCCAGGGACAGCTTAAGGTATGTACAGTATACAGTTATCTTGACAGTAAAAGGGAAGAGTGTATCTCTGAATAAGAAGATAATAGAAGATGTGTTATCCTACAGGATGCCCAACTGCATCTTGATGAAGCAGTCAGGGGACAGGAGGACATGAAGGAGCAGGTTGCCATGGTGGAGCGCAGAAACACTCTGATGCTGGCTGAGATTGAGGAGCTGAGGGCCGCTCTGGAGCACACAGAGAGAGGCCGCAAAGTGGCTGAGCAGGAGCTGGTCGATGCCAGTGAGCGTGTTGGACTGCTGCACTCCCAGGTATGTTTAAAATATCAAAAGTTATGCATGATCTCCCTGGAGACATTGCTCCAATTATTTGCCCCTGTATTAATATTAAAAATAAATCAATGTTTTTCAGAACACCAGCCTGATTAACACTAAGAAGAAGCTTGAAGGTGACCTTGTTCAGGTCCAGGGTGAGGTGGACGATGCCATTCAGGAAGCCAGAAATGCAGAGGAGAAGGCCAAGAAGGCCATTACTGATGTGAGTAATCATAATCTGCATAATTCTGAAACATTTTTCCATACCAGAACCCAAAACAATCCAATTTCTACCACAGTGTATTCAATGGCATCTAGTATTGCTTATGCATTTCCCACTAAGTAAAATAAATAAAATCTATGATCAGAGATACCACAACATTGTGGCCAATGTAGAACATGCCATGAACACATTTTAGGCAGCCATGATGGCAGAGGAGCTGAAGAAGGAGCAGGACACCAGCGCCCACCTGGAGAGGATGAAGAAGAACCTCGAGGTCACAGTGAAGGACCTGCAGCACCGTCTGGACGAAGCTGAGAGCCTGGCCATGAAGGGTGGAAAGAAACAGCTCCAGAAACTGGAAGCCAGGGTGAGCAATACAACCGATAAACTGTGTTTATGAGAAGGCTACTAATCTCTTATCATTTGGTAACTTTAAAGTGACTCTGAAATGGATGGATTGACATTTGTGCATTTTATGTAGTTTTATATTTCACATTATTAGCATATAATTGCTTTACCATTTGACAATCATTTGATAAATCCACAGGAAAAAAAATCTTAATTTCTATATTTAAGGTACGCGAGCTGGAGTCTGAAGTGGAAGCTGAACAGAGACGTGGAGCCGATGCTGTGAAAGGTGTCCGAAAATACGAGAGGAGGCTCAAGGAGCTTACCTACCAGGTAGATTTTTACAAATATTTATATAAACATAAGAAACATACACTGAAGACTGCAGGTATCTAATAATCTATACTTGTTGCAGACTGAGGAGGACAAGAAGAATGTGACCAGGCTGCAGGATCTGGTGGACAAGCTGCAACTGAAAGTGAAGGCCTACAAGAGACAGGCTGAGGAAGCTGTAAGTTCTGTAATTTGTGTATATATCTCATAACTTTGGCATTTAATTACACCGTAATTTAATGAAAAATGACAGATTATTCTCATATTCATCCCCTGCTTATCAGTCAAGTAAAGGGTGACTTACACGTACAACAAATTCATACAAGACAATTTCAGAATTATGGATGTGACATTTTTTGTTATGGATTTGACCAGTCTTCTGCAGACTATAGAAACCACATGCTTGCATGGTTAACTTTTATATGAAACAATTGAAATACTAATTATGAAAAAATTATGAGATGAGACATATACACATTTTACAGTGTATATGAGTATTAGTGTACATTTTAAGGATTAGATTAAATAACCACCACCATTGTCTGATTAGGACACTAATACTCAACATATACAATATGAACTATAAAGATTTTTGTAATCTCTCAGTAGTAGCCTGTTGCATTTAGAGCGCTTGGTCTAACAATGATTCAGCATGACTCTCATGATGAGCTCTTTGACTGCTGTACAGGAGGAGCAGGCCAACACTCACCTGTCCAGGTTCAGGAAGGTGCAGCATGAGATGGAGGAAGCCCAGGAGCGTGCCGACATCGCTGAGTCTCAGGTCAACAAGTTGAGAGCCAAGAGCCGCGAAGCTGGAAAGGTATTTGACAGTTCAATACCACTGTTACATTTATATTTATTTTTGAAAAAGAAAAATAATGTTATGAGACATTATTTGATTAGGTTACATAAACTTTATTGATCCCAGGGGAAGCAAGACTCATTTTACAGTATTGGGATTTTTAAATTACACTTCAACATAAACATGTGGGGTGGAGAGGTGGCTCCAAGATTAGGACTCTGTGCCAGAAGGTAGACAGTTTGAATCCCATGAATGCCAGGAATGATTCTACTTTGTTGGGCTCTTGAGCAAGGCCCTTAACGTGCAAATGCTTCATCCTGGGTATGACATTGATCTGCAACCAGGTCCACCAACTTTCAGGGAAAACTTGGTGGTAGGATTGGCTTTCCATTTGCCAGAAAAAAACTTCAAACATCTCAATTCTATTTGAACTAGTGTGGTGCTGATGCACTGCGCTCTGGTTCTTATCCCTGAGGTGGTTAGTCGTGCGGTTGGTGCAGCAAAACACAGTAACAGAACACGTTCCTTATCTCTCTCTCTAAAACATAACCCAATGATTAGCCAAACTGCTAAAATGTGTATGCCTTATTGTATTTTATGGATAAGGTGTTTTACTTTAATTTATTTTCCTCTCTATTTTAAAGGGCAAGGATGACGCAGAATAAGGAACATCATTTGAAACACAATTGCAAGTTATCATAAAATATGAACTTGTGAAATGTCTGCATATACATTTACTAAATAAAGTTTGTTCATTTGAGTACTCCAATGTCTGTTTTTTATGCCTTTAAACCATACAAAATAAATTATGTACAAAGCAAGACAAAAATGGGACATTTCACTTTCAAAACTCCAGCAACTGGTCTCCTCAGTTCCCAAACATTTACAGAGTGTTATTAAAAGAAGAGCCAATCCAACACAGTAGTAAACATGCCCCTGGCCCAACTTTTTTGGAAATGGGGTTGTATATATTACAGAAGAAATTAAAAATTCTTGAGAATATCCTTGTGAGGGTCATGGTGGAAGCATGAACAAACCTCTCCTTCCCAGACTATTTGCTCATGCTGGTGGATCACCAGGCATTCCCAAGCCGTTTGGGAGATATAGTCCCTCCGGCATGTTCTGGGTCTGCCCTAGAGTATCCACCCAACAGGGACAGCCCACCAGGTGGTTTCCTTAAAAGATGTCTGAACCCCATCAGCTGGCTCCTCCTGAACCGAAGGAGCAGTGGCTCTTTTTCAAGATCCTTCCAGATCTACTAACTCCTCTCCGTCTCCGTCAGCTAGCCTAGACACCCTTCACAGAAACCTTGCTTTTTCTACTCATAATTGAAATTATGTTCTCTCGGTCATTACCTATAACTCATGACCATAGGTGATGTCAGAAAAGTAGATTGACCAAAATATTAACTACATACCAATTATTAATAACTGCTGAAATGTGAACCCACATGAATACCTTGATGCAGGAACAATCACAGACCAGTGTTACTTCCTGACTTATGTAAGAGCTTGAATTGTTATGGAAGGCTTGCAAAGAATCATCGAAAAAACTGATGTTGTCATTCCTGAAAAGCACTAATAATGCTTAAAAACCATCATATAAAGCTACCATTTAATGTTACCGATACTGAGAGAAAATAGCCTAATTCTGGGTGGTCTGTATACGTTACTAATACATATCATAGGCGCCGAGCGGACCGAGACATCGCGAGTGAATCGAAGGACAAGGAGACTTGCTTGCCGGTGTTCCGGACAATTCAGTTTCCCTATGTTTCCCCTGTCGCGCGCTGATTTGTACACGGTTTCACTGTTGTTATCATGTCTTTTTACGAAGCTCTTGAGTTAAACAAGCCGTATATTTTAAAACATCACATGCCTTTTCGATGTTTTTTGTTTTTACAGATAATAAATGAAAGTATTTAATTCGCTGGATAGACATATTTCTTGATGAAAACGGTATAGTATTGCTTATAAGACTATATTATGCGTGACGATCTACTTTATTCACATGTAATAATGTACCTGAGTGATTTTCAGACATCTCACATACATATTTGCCTAAATATTAGGGGAAACATTATTTCCTGACATCCAGGATATTTGGTTCCCCCCTGTTAAAACAGGTAGGCTATACTATAGGCTACAGCAACTCTGGGCCTCGGTACTAATAACAATACAGTATATTCACATATAATAATGTACCTGAGTGATTTTCAGACATTTCACATACCTCTTTGGTTTAATATTAGGGGAAATATTATTTCCTGATAGACAGGGGAAACATAGGGAAACCGAATTGCCCGGAAAACCGGGATATGCTGACCCCCGTCGGCGCTACAATATAATAAAATGAAACAGTACTAACTTATTTTTTAATCCATTTGCCAAAAGTTGTTGAATGTTTCTTCAGGAAAAATGCTAAGAAAAACACTGTTATAGATCTGAGAGCATATGAATATTAGCTTTCCAAAAGTCACTCAGTCCACGGGATACATTTTCCAGAAATATTCTGTGGACTTTCTGAGTTGGAATGATCAAGAAATCAAGAGGCTCGCCAATTTTATTACGCAGCCTTTAATTTTAATTTAATACCCCTGGTATATATTTACTGGTCGCATAATGTATTGTATAGCTGTAATATAACATTTACATGTGCCAATTTTCTCACCTCTTTAAATTTTATCAGCAATAATTAACAGAACCATCTTACGGACAATAACAAATTTTAAATTCTCATTTTTTACTACATCTGAAAAACTGCACTGAAGGTCCGGCTTCAAGGTTCCCATAGTTACTGACTCACCTCCAATTTAGTCCAGGGAAGCTGCCAAACCTAAATACCCTTTTTATCGCTATAACCAAACAACCTAAAAACCGTTACATCAACCCATGTAATGTGAATTCAGTCATCTAAATTTCCGAGAACAAAGCTTGACTAAATAATTTTTTAATTTAAAGTAGATTACTAACTAATTAATTGTTCTTCTATATTGCCGACAAGATAATTATTTGCTTTTTCAAACAATTTTAATTGAACTGCATCCCTACAGACAGTTGCCAGAGTATCCCCGGATCGGCTTTCTCGGGTTTAAACTACTCCCAGTCAAAGATCGCCATCTACTGTTTATTACACGTATCAAAGGAAGAACGCAATAGGCGGATTCAAAGCCCGCCAAAAAGACTGCCGTTTAGAAAAACCCAAATATTTTAAGTACTTCATATTTTATTATGTTACAATATTGCTAATATTATTCCATACGCCACCACGTGCAGGAGAAGCAGTTGACATTTAAGGTAATTACTAGAAACGGGTATTTTTGCCTTCGTGTGAGAACGAAATATTTTCTTCACATAAATAGCTGAACAATGTTTTACTAGGCTAGCACCCAAACAGATAAAAGACACGCAAATATAACCGATAAAACTTAAACTTTACGGCAGCCGTATAGACTGTGGAAACCTAAATATTTAAGGGTTTTTAAATTAAATGTTCTTCGGTATTCCGAAGAATAGCATCAATTGGTATCAAACAACGCTAAACTAAAGCAGTTTATACTGAAGTAAAATGAACACAGTTGCCAACTCACATATGGCGTAAATATAAACATCTGTATAAATTTTACATCTGACAAGTAAAATATACCTCCCTTTAGTGTTACCACATTCAATTGAAAGTCGCTAAATGACGCACCAATCAGCGCATTGGTTGCTTTCCGTCTATAGTGTCAAACGGTGTCAGCTTTAACACAGAGGAGTATAATAAGTCCTTAAACACTACGACCTACTCCTTTTCTCACTATAGTATTATCATTAGTTTGTCAATTTTGCGCAGGGACCTCAACACTTTGGGTTGGCTTAGGCGCAAAGCCCATTCCGACCTGCTTCACATTGAAGTATTTCTCCTGGACCAGATGAAACAGTATGACATGCTTCGCGGAAATAAGCTTGAGGATGTCATTAATTCGGAAAAACAGAAGTGATTTTTTTCCAGACGAATGCAATACGCACCCAGATTAGCGATTGATCCTTGGCAGCGGTGTATTCATTAACACTATTCACATCTAGTGGATTGACTGTGCTGCTCCCGTCGCTCACTGAACAGGGCAGACGAAAGGACTGGTGTCCCTTGACTATTTTCTGGAACGTATCTATTTTTTCCGAAAAGTCTCTAGATTTGTCGCTAGAGGTTTTTTTTGGGGGGGGGGGAAGGTCACCAAAGGGTTCTGGAAAGTTGCTAAATTTAGCCACAAATTCGCCAAATTGGCAACAATACCTTTCTGATTCTAATGCTGCTAGTCAGGTTTTAAGTCAAGTGCTAGTATTCCCATAGGCAGTTGCACCTAAGTTTATAACATAGACAAAACCCAGAGGAAAAAGGGAAACCATAAAATAATGAGAATAGTAATAATCATCCTATTGCCTTTTTCTAAATTAAGATAAAGGTTAATTTGGATTTTAAAACATTTTAATTGATGACTACTCAGATATTTAAAAATAAATTTGTACTACACAGTCACTCCTGCTCTGTAGCTTAACAAAACTTACAGCTATAACTGATCCTGATCCTGGTCCAGTATTTAACAGCTGTTGTCCTGCCAAGGCTCTTGAGTAAAAAGTTGAGGTTGGGATTGGTTCCCTAAGACAAAATACAAAGATGGATGTATATATTTTATATAAATAACCATGTATAAAATCATAAAGCATGGATAAATATCCTCACTTTTGTAGAACTGTAGAATTCAGTAAAACTGCATCTAAGAGTTCTAAAATGCAATAAACAATCATGCCTAAGTATTCAGAAATACTATAAAGTATATTGTAGAATAAATAAATCAATGTCATATTTAAAAATATATATATATAATAAATCAAAACACCATTACTTGCCCCCGCGACCCTGACCAGGATAAGCAGTTAGAAGATGGCTGGCTGGCTGGATGGATGGGTGGATAAGTACTTGCTTTGTGTAAAGTTCAATTTGGACTGTCTTCATATATATGAAAAACCTAATGCAACTCTGCTTCTGACAGTCACATATAGGTTTTAGCCTCAAGTTCATTTCAGTGAGATGGAAGGTTGACTTTGACATCAACCCTTCACAATAAACCTTAAAGCGCAATGTGACAAATACCAGTACCCTTAAAACAGAGCTGAGCAAGCATCTATTTTTGTATTTTCTCCTAATAAGAACATACTGCAACAGCAAGGTTATCTAGTGTTACATTTTATTAAACATATAAACCCATTCTCTTACGTGTGACTACCTCAGAATGCTCATCAGCATTTTCTAGTATCGTCTTTCAACTGGAAGACAGTAAGCATCTTGACAATGCCATTTAAATTCCTTAATGTTATTATTAAACTAGAAGAGAACAGATGTGAATGAGATGCATAGGCTCTTTGTTTACATTAAGCACTGACTACTATGCAGTATATGGTGGATGATAACTATAACTTAAATAAACAAGGAAAACACTATAAAACAATGAAATTGTGTGATGGTAAGTATTTATTTGGTTTTAAATATTTGTCTGGAAATAAGCTGGCTACTAACATACATTATATATCATATCTACAAATAACTTTAAATGATTAAGTTTAGACTACTCACATTGCTTATAAACAACAGACCAAAAATACCTGTTATGAAATTATGATATTAGTCACCTAGGGCAGTCCTCCGTTTCACAAATTAAATGGAAATCAGCCATTAAAATCATGCTCAGGTTGACATTTTAATGTTATTCTGAATGAGGTGATTATCCTGAGATTTTTCATAAAACACATTTCAACTGCCTGGATTAAAATGGACCTCTACACCATCTGGGTTCAGAAAATACCGACTGTCACCCCTGATTTTTCAAGTGAAAAGACAAGCAGGGGTGCTGCAACAGTATACCAGTGGCATCTGTGAGCTTCCCCACAGCCAAACCACACCTCCATTTAGTGCCAGTTTCCATTACAAAGATGGACTGGTCTCCAAATGTTGCTGTCACATTGTCTGACCTTGAGTACTGCATACTGCTAAATATATTCAGTGAAGTATCCTGTGAACATAAAAATACCACACTTTCATTATGATAAAGGTTTATAACAAACACAAAACCTTTATAATTTTTTATTTCTTTCCCTTATTGGCCTTAAAGACATCATTTAAAAAAAAAAAAAAAGTTTTTTGGGGACAAAAGCAATAAAAAGGTACAGACTAGCTCCAAAATACTCATTTTTGAGAGATACAAAGCTTTTACAGCAGCTGGACATCCATGTAGTACTGCTTAGATGTTTGACCAAACATGTAAAAAGTGCTATAAAGTATTTGCAACTAATGATCAATGTAGCACCACATATCATCACAGCAGTTACACAACAAACGGTATCATCAAGCTTTCCCCAATCCATTAAAGGTTTAAAATAAGAGTTAAGCTGTGATTAGTAGGATGGATAACTCCAACTAACTAAGCAATGCCCAAGAATTACTCGCATTAAAAATAATTTTCTTGTGGGCAAGCGAGTGAAATATATCAGGGTAGGGGGCAAAATGCATGTCCAAATAGAGCAGGGTCTTTCTGCTGAGCAACAACAAATGTTTCTATAAAAGCAGCAGCTCCAGACTTATTCAAGGACTGCAAGACATCCAGAGAAGGTGAGTGAGTCTTAACATCATTTGGCAATGGAACTCATGTTTAAAGCCCTAGTTTGATGCCTATAAGATGTCTCTCTTAAAAAGTACATTTCAATAAGCTGTAAACTGTACAAAGTAATATTTAGGAATTAATTTTAAAATGAAAAACATTTCTATTAACAAATGATATATTGTAATGACAATGCACTATCAATTCTGATAATTTTATTGAAATTTTAATTTTATTGCTTTGTCATTAGTTAAAAAGTCTATAGATTAGACAGTATCTGCACTACCTAACTAATCACAGTGAATTTCTCCATATACTTGACACTTCTCTTCCAGCATCCAAAAGGTTGCCATCCACTGCCATTCTCTCTCGGCATCACATCAGGTAAAGAACTTCTGCATGTTGGAAATCCACATATTCACAAAGACAAGCTGCTTTCCTAATGCAGAGGCAAAGAAAGAGTGGTGTGATAATACCTAAGCTGATGATAGCATGATACCACCCATCTTCTAGCTACTTATCCTGGCAGGTTAGCAGGGGAGGCTGGAGACTATCCCAGGAAGCAAAGGGTAAAAGGGATGCCAGTCCATCTCAGGGCACATACCTACACATTTAATCACACACTACAGGTAGTTCAACAAGAGTTCAACACTCAGCTCTAGAGGGGTGAGGCAATAGTGGTCCCCACTAGCTACCATACACTGTACCTACATGTACAGTGTTCTGGTAAATTTTTATAAAAATTGCTATTTCTGACAAAAATAATTAATGTCCTTTGGGTTGAAAGAAATACTTGTCAATAATTAGCAAAACCCTCATGGATACAAATTCTATAATTTCTTCGATTACTAATGGTTCACTTTCGTTGTTATCTCATTGTACTTAAAATACTCTCCTTGACAACAACCAAGCCATCTAACCAGTTTCTATGTATCAGTTCATTTCTGATGCAAAGTTATTTCATGGAGCATTTATAAAGGAAGGTTTGTCTGCCACAACACACAAAATCATGTTCTATTTGAATGAAACAGAGCAGAATACACTTTTTTACAATGTAGAAACCATTTAAACAAAGCATTTCAGAGCTAATATGGATCAAAAGATCACTATACTAAATCGAGTCTAAATCAGGTGATGGACTTTAAATGAAGGCACAGCAATTGTTTAACTTACCAAGTGTAATATATGCTTTATATTGAAGAAGTAACAGATTTGATAAATGATTTCTTATCCCTCAGTAAACTGTCATCATGGGGGATGGAGAAATGGAGTGTTTTGGCCCAGCGGCCATTTTTCTCCGGAAGCCCGAGAAAGAGAGGATTGAAGCCCAGAACAAACCATTTGATGCCAAAACATCATATTTTGTGGCTGAACCAAAGGAGATGTACCTCAAAGGGGTTCTTCAAAGTAGAGAGGGGGGCAAAGCCACTGTTAAGACTTTGTGTGGGCAAGTAAGTACAACTGTGTACCTAACAGATTAATTACAGATCATTAGTACAAACTTTATTAAGCTTTTCATTTTTAAATGTCTTATTTGCATTATGGTCATGGTAATCACTACCAGTTTTGCACATAAAGCAATTAATGTATTCAGTTTTATTTGAAAGGTCTTTTTGTGACATTGCTTACATCTCTGGACATATCTCTGTGTCTTCTTAAACCAGACCATTACAGTTAAGGAG